CAAGAAGCATTTCCAGTACAGGGAGGGCTTCTGAGATTGCCACACTTAGAGTATTTACATCAGTGCAGGAGATATTGTTTTTACTTATTCAACATAAAAGAATGTATTTGTGTTGAGAAGGGATGTTTTCTAAAAATATATTGCATTTCTCTAAACATTTTCTAAGGTGTGTGCACATTGGTATGTGTTATCTGGTGATTACTGCCCTGGGCAGTGGCGGTGGTTGTGAAAGACCTTCACATAAGTGCTCTGAGACCACAGTTTGTGGCTGAGAAAACCTAGCAGCTGGGCCAAAATCAGATAGGTATCTAAGTACTGACAGCCAGTGGATCAAATCCAGTACCCCACAGCTCACCCCATGTTGGTCATTCCCCAGTCCATCTGCTCAGTGGAGCTGCAGGTACAGTCAAACAAACTAAAGTGGACAGAAGGGCACCCCACGAGGTGAAGCCAAGGAAGGAGGCAGCTGGGGTGAACAATTCGGGCTATGCAGGTGGTAGGGGACCTGGCCTTCTGCCTCTTGCTCTCCTCAGAGTTTGAGAGGAATGAGTTCTGATACCTCACTGTTGGAATTGCCCAGTCCCACTTCCAGGGAAAGGCAGGCAGTTTCTTCTTTTGGCCTGCCCCACATTTGGTTCCTGGCCTGTACGAAGTCTGATGTGTCCCAACATCCATTTGGGAGACACTAGCCCCAGATGGGAGTCTCAGCTCTGCTCTTGAGCTGAACAAACTGAACAGGTACTCCGGTTGTCTATGAGAATGTGTAACTAACTGGCCCTCATGCCTGGTCTTGCATCGATAGAGTGCCAGGGCTCCTCATGGAGCCTGGAGTTATACATATAGTGCCTCCTACTCCATGGTTTGTATTAGCCAGTCCCTAGACATGACATCTGAGCTCTCCCTGGGCCCAGGCACTTGTATTCTGTTTGTCTTCTCCTTCCAGTGACCTGAGAGGCTAGCAAAGCTGGTGGCTCCAGACTAGGGTACCCAAGGGTTTGTCCAGAGTTCCATTTTAACTATTGCTGGAGCAGGATATAACCAACATGCACTGTTGAGATGTCTAAAACATTAATATTTTAAAAATGCACCCTGTGTCATTTGACAATGGAGATACATCTGAGAAATGTCACTGGGCAACTTTAGCACTGCAGAATGCCATGGAATTTGTTACACAAACCGGGATCACTGCAAGATCCCCAGGTGATCTGTTCTTTGGAAACCATCTGGAATGTGTGAGCCTTGCCTGACTGAAAAATTGTTATACAAGAAAATAAAGCCTCACAGGAGAAATGTAAAGATCACACCACCACACGTAATCCAAGCCCCACTGCTGCAGAGGGGAACCTGAGAAGCTCCTTTCTCCAAAACACACACTTAGGATGGTTGTATTGGGCATGCTACTCTGAATACTGTCTCCCAAATGTTTTAGTTGGCATGATGTTATCAGGGTTTTCCCAATGCCTTTTTTAAAAAAAAAAAAATCCTAGCAGCTTGACTTTAATTGTTGTGGTCTCTAAGGTCTGCATGCCCATCCTGTGTCAGCTGCCTCAGTGTTCAGGAAACAGGGAATAGAATAGTCCCTGTAGGAGATGGCCCCCAAGATACTTGATGGAGCCTAAGTCCACATATGTGTGTGTGTGTTCCCAGCCACCATGTGGCTCAAGTGAACTCAGAGTTTTCCATAGTCCAACTCCTGCATCACTATCCAGTCAAATGGGTGGGAAAGTTCTGCCTGAGCCCCACCTGCATTCAGTTCCTATTTGTTCAAGACAAAAAAAAAAAGTTATAGCCATTTTGAGAGCTTTTACTGAGCTCTAGCTAATTGCCACCCCAAGATCAATAGCAGTGGTCCTGTCATGGGTGCTGAGGTTGGCAGGCCTCATGTGCATATGTGGTGTGCAGCTATGGTACCCCTCCTCTCTCAGTCAAGGTGAACTGTCCAGTCTCACATACGGGCGGGCCATGTGTGTCTCCTCAGGAGTTGGGACGCATTTTCCCCAGGGCCCTGAGGCCTCTCCCAACCCATCCTGGAACAGTAGATCATCACCAGTGGGAAGGAACGGCACATTTGTACTGCATCAAGGGAAGAGTTGTAGGGGAGTATGTGTTACTCCAGCTACCTCCAAAGGGAAGGAGCAAAAGGTAGGGGTGGGCCGCAGCCTCGGGCCTGCTGTGTGGGACCAGCTGACTAGCCTAATTCCCCTACCAGGTGGAACAAGGATAGTGTTCCTTGTCTTGACCTTCACGGACTCCTAAGGCCTGAACATCTGGTGGGTGGCTCTGGGGCTCCCCCATGTAAACAGGCACACACAGTCAGGCCCTAAATTAAAGTGTCACAGGCCTCTTGGGGAGCTCAGGTTTCCTGCTGCAGAACATGAGCCTGCTTGATAAAACGATTTGAGTTGTGATAAATGTGGATTTTCTGTGGTAGAGACAAAGGCGCCCTTGAGTCCGGAGGGGAACCTAAAACAGCACGTTGCTGAAAAGTATTTCCTGATCATATTTTTAGCACCTGAAAAGAGATTTTTTTCTCTCTCTCTTTGCCTGTGGATCTCGTGTGTGTGTGTGTGTGTGTGTGTGTGTGTGTGTGTGTGTGTGTAATGTGGTACCCAGCAACAACAGTAAGATCTGTTGGCCCCCACCTCACCCCCAACCCTGTCTCCCAGGCCTTGCTGAAAATCTTCACAGGACACCCATTTGGGGATGACAGTAAGCACCACACCACTACCCTGGATGGAAATCAGAGGATCTAGCATGCAGCTGGACCTGTGCACAAGCCTGGCTCTGAGATGGGCCTCCGTCCTGGTACCCTGCAGCTGGTCAGTGGATTCTAGTGGAAAGCAGTCAGGACCCCATGTCTGGTCACTAGTTCACCACAGCTGGAGGGACAGTCATCAATCAAGGACTCTACTGATTGTACTCCACTGTGTACTTGACAGTGTGCCTAGTGCTACGGCAACCCAGATATCTCCAAGCAGACCCAAACCCTTTACTAGGGCCCTCTGAGGCATGCGCTCTGGAAGAAGGCTGGCAGTGCTGAGATGGGAACTGTGGCCGGGCATAGGGTAGAGCAAGGGTGTGTGGTTGGAGACAGCAAAGATGAGTCGCTATGGGCTCCACTTGGTATCCCATGGGCAGAAAGGCAAATCTGAAGTCTCCCTCGGCTTCTGCCCCTGGGCTTGGTGCTGCCCCCTGCACTTGCATCAGAAAGCCAATGAGAGAAGAGAATAGAGCTTCCATGGAGGCCCTGTGCCCAACGCCAGGAGGCAAGAGGCTCTTAGGTCCCCAGCATGGTGGCCAGGCCTGCTGGCAGCTCTGTGTTAGAGGCTGTGCAGGAGGAGGCCTTCCAAGGCCTGGTCCTGATCCTGATGTGGTCTGCTCAATGAGACGAGGGAATTTACCACAGAGTACTCTTAAATCCAGAAGCTTGGCCCAAAGGCCAATCTGTTTTTGTTTTTGCTAGACAGGGTTTCTCTGTGTAGCCCTGGAACTCCCTCTGGTCTTGAACTCAGAGATCCACCTGTCTCTGGAGTGCAGGGATTAAAGTCACCACCATGCCTGGCATCAGGGGCTGATGTTCTATAGCCAGCTGTCCAGCAGAACATTTCACATCTCCAGCAGAACATTACCCCCCTGCCAAATAGGATCACCACACAAAGCTGGAGGGGCAGGCCAGAGGAAGGCAAGCCGCTCACAAGGTGTAGGCTAGAAGTGGTCAGTGCAAACAAAGACGGCGGTCAGGGGCTGCCTCCTTAAATCTGGTGCCTGGCCCTGATGCTGAGGCAACGGAGGTTGGGAGTATCACAGTCATGAGTCTGCTGAGAACATGATCTGTGTGAGCTAGGAACCCCTGACTGACACACAGAGAACTCTCTGCTATATTTTAAAATTAATATGCAAGGTCCCTTGCTGTAACTGAAACACAGCACATGCTTGTTAGAGAGATTGTGGGAAATACAGAAAAAATGCAAAGCCAGCACAAATTAGAATCTCAGTGACAGTTGCTGTTACTCTTGTAGCTTTTTTTTTCCTTGCTTCTCTTTGAGAGGTATCATCTTGCCTTTGGGATCCCAGATTCGGCTTATAGTCACATGTCACCCAATGGAAGGATCTGGAAGCAGACAAGATGGTGGAAACTGAGGCCTCCAGGAGACCCCAAGGGGACACAGAAAGAAACCTGATAGCACCCCTGAGGTAGGGCAGCCACTTACAAAGCAATTCTCAAGAAAAACAAGCAAGGTTAGGGAGCCACATGCCCCCAGGGCCTGGGTGACCAGTCCACACTGCAGGCTGCCCTAACATTGTGCTACATGACTGACCCCTTCGGGGAAAGCCCTTACACAGAGAAAGCTGTGTAAGGCTTCGAGTCTCCCAGATCCAAGGGTTTATCCTCAGTGAAATTAGATAAGGGGTAGACCCTGGGACAGGTTTCAGCTGCTTCTGAAAGCTAATGCCCTAGGCTAGGACCGGTGTGTGGCCATGCAAGGTTCGTCTGAGTGTTGCAGGGTGAAGTGGCCCAGACTGACATTCTATCAGGAAAAGCCAGATGCTCTGGCCTGACAGGGACCCCAGAGGACACACAGGAAGCCTGTTCAAAATCAGGTCTTAGGGCAACAAGTCAGCTTCTGAACTGCTGGGTTAACCCAGGCGCCTCCTGTGGGCAGGCCCTAAGCTGGTGACAGGAGAATGTAAGTCCTCACCTCAAGATATCCCAAACGCAAGGGAGCAAGAGGGCCTCCGGTTTGGAGGTGGAGCCAACCCAGTACTAGTTCGGCTTTAAGGAGCCTCGAGACAGGAGGGCCTGGGAGCTGCGCTCCGGCTCCCTCCCACCCAGAGGACCAGCAAGTTAAAAATGCCACAATTTGCATGACCCCGCCTCTCCCGCCCCTCCCGGGTGGCCGCCTGGGCAGGCTATTTAAACCCGGGTCCCCGCGGTAGGCCGGCGGTCCGCGGTCCTGCCTCGTGCCTTCCTAAGCTGAGCGGGTCCCCGGAGTGTGACGCGAGCTAGCGGGAGGAGACGGTGCGGCCAGTCGGCCGTGCGGTGACTGCAGCCACCTGCCCGAGCCCCGTGGCCCGCCCTCAGATCCCGGCGATGCGCCGTGGCGCCGCCTGGGCGCTGCTGCTGGCCGCAGCCCTGGGGCTCGGGGCGCGCGGGGTGCGCGCTGCGGTGGCCCTCGCCGATTTCTACCCGTTCGGCACGAAGCGCGGCGACGCCGTCACCCCGAAGCAGGACGACGGCGGCTCAGGGCTGCAGCCCCTCTCGGTGCCCTTCCCGTTCTTCGGCGCCGAGCACTCCGGACTCTATGTGAGTAACCCCGAGCTCGAGGGGGCTCCGGGGAGGGCGCCGCTGCCCTCCACCCCAACTCGTGCCGCCGCCGCCAGCAACTTGGCACCGCGGCAGCCAGAGGTGGAATGAGGACAGCGCTTCCTCTCTCCCGCGGCCAAGGCCGGACAGCGGCTGGCGGGAGAGGCGAGGGCAGGGCGGGGCGAGCAGCCGCCAGGGCACCTAGGCGACGGCCTGGCCAGCGGAACGCGGCGCGCCCCTGCTGCTCACAGCACGACCTGTTTGGGACGTTGGCAGAGTTCGACAGGCTTCCGCAGAGCTGTGGGTCTCCCAGTGCCTAGTAGGGAACCTTCGATCCTGTTCCTTCACAGAGAGCTATGTGGCAGTGGGCACATGGCCTCCGGCCACAGTTTCCCCAGTGGGGCATATGGCTTGTGAAGGTCTCAGCCCTCCTTAAGCCATTTCAGCCTCACCCACAGTTAACACCCAAGGCCCAGGGCCAGAAGGAATTCTGGCATGATTTGCTTCGTTGCAGAAGACCTGCGCTGGGCAGGGTTGGCAGCTAGGGGCAGTGTAGAGGGGTTTACACCCGCACCCCCTCTTCTTAGTCCAGAGGTTAGCCACCAGGATCAGATCCTCTAAACAGGCTCCCAAGGGCAATTCCTCTCCCCAGCCCCAGACACGAGTGCAGGAGAGGTCTCAGTGGATTGCAGAGTATGAGTGTCAGTCTCCATGTTCCAGGGTCTGACCCTGTGCACAGTCACCTGTGCACAGTCAAAGGGGTGAGCTGTGGTGAAGTGACCACTTTGCACCAACCTTGCCATCTCCTGGATTACTAAAATCCACTTAGAAACGCCTGAGCCAACGTAGTCTATAGTTAAAACACCATCTTCTAACACACAGTCTGCCATGTCCAACGCCAGTCGCCATTAGCTCTACCAGTGATTTTGTCATTAGCACCACCACCTCAATGTCTGGCACACTCACCTGTGCCATAAGCACTGCTGCCACCAGTCACCATACTGGCATCCCTACCATCTTGAGCACTGCCTCCACCACCGGTCACGTGGTCTGCGTTGCCATCTTGACCACTACTGTCCATGGGGCCTGTCCATCACCAACACCACCCTGCACCCCATAGCCACTAGCATCATCCACACAGGCCACCACTGTGTCACAACCTGGTGGCTGACTTCCCTGTGCCCACTCAGAATGGCCTCCTCACCTTGGTGGCAGTGTCTGGGGCCATGACCATGGAGAAGCATAGAGAGAGAAGAAAGGCAGACATCCCCGGGACTTGGTAGACTGAAGACTTTTGCTAGTAGGCAGTAGGCAGGAAGAGCTGTGTTCTGCGTCTGGAAGAGGCCTGTACATCCTAGGACTGTGAAGACTCATCCTAACAGAGCTGTCAACATGTTCTTTAAGCATTCTGGCTAGGCTTGGGTTGTCCACTCCAAGTCACAGGTGAAAATATTATTAAAATAGTTGACCTTCTTAACATGAGAAACCAACCTCTGGCTCTTAGGAAAACACACGCCCTACCAGAGCCTCTCCCTGAGACATAGATACTCTTTAGTAAATACTCGCTGATGTGGTCATGGTGTGCAGAGTGAACCTCACCTTTCCCTTTGCTCAGTGGGAAGGGAAATGGAACTCTTTGAGAAGCCGTGTCCATACATCTGGCCTGAAACAGCAATTGGGGCACATGCATAGGTCACTGTCAAGGCTATATAGAGAAAAGGAGGCAATGACTCCAGAGCAGGGTGTCTGCTGAGTGTCCCAGCCCCACCCAGGCTGAGAGGACACTGGATGCCTCTGTGTGGCCCTCATCCAGCCCCACATAGTGAGGTATGGTATCAGTAGCTCTCCTGGCCCTGACAGCTTGAGTAAGAGTAGGCTTGTTAGAGTAGTGAGTGAAAGAATGAATGTCCCATCTTTCTCTGTCGCTCCACATCCCAGGGAGAGTCGAAGTGCCCTGCATGAGACTGGTACTGGTCTTCCTTGGGGACGCACAGACATGTTTCCAGAGTGACAGCTCCATCTTGAGGGTAGCTCCTATCTAGAAAGGACCTTGCATTCCACCACTTTCTCGTGTCCTAGTAACTGGCCCTGGAGTTGTTGAGAGCCTACGCTGCTGTTTAGCATTTGAACACAGGTAAGGAGAAACTGGTGGGCGTGGGGTACTGCCCACCCCCTGCTGGCCAGAAATGTTACTACTGCCAGATTCTTAGGAAAGACTGAAGCTGGAGAAGCGCCGGCTGGGTCTGAGTCTTGTCTTAGTTGGCACTGGGATCCCCCTCTATGGCCTTGGGTGGCATATTACCTGTCAGCTTCTGTTCCTTAATTGTCAGAAAAGGGAGCACCACATTAATTTCATATCCTTCAGGGTGCTGGGCTCCTATAAGGGACAGGAGTCTGCTAAGGTGGTACCAGTGGCTGTAAGCCTGAGTCTTCCAGTTGTTTATCCAACCTGAACTGGATGAAGGGGTGAACAGGGTGGTGGCCCTCTGGAAGATCGTCTCCAGCCATACTGAGCCTCATGCCCTTTGACCTCCTCTGACACATATATGGTCTTTGGGGAAACTCTGGGGCCAGAATGTAGAGACGGTTAATAGACTGACCTGAACTCTTGCTGATCAGAACATCAGTTCTCATACCTTCAAGGGAAGGCTTGACTCCACACTACCCAACTATCCAATGAGCCTGTGCTGACCTCCCTGCCCTTAGAGAACAGCCCTGGCTCTGCCCTTTAGACACTCGGCCCAGAGCAGCTTCCTACGTTTCTGTCAGCACGCAGCTTGCCGCTTTTGCCTTGGTTTTCCTTGGTATTCTTCAGTTTAGCTTAGGCAGAGTGGACAGGGGTTTCTCCCTCTGTTGGATGCCAGGTTCTACTTGTACGTGGTCCTAGGTCTCAGCAGGTCACTGTGTCAGAGGAGATTTTCTAGATGACCAGAGCTGGCAGCCAGACATCCTGTACAGTGACTATTAGACTTGGGGAGGTAGAACCACCGTGCAGTGAGAGGTGAGTTTGAGCAAGTTTTGAGTGAGTGTCCAGCTGCCTACTTACTGTGTCCCCACAGTGGGGCCCAAACTGAAGTCCTATTTCTCTGAAACATGGTCCAGCCTTCTGTCCCCCACAGATGTAGCTTCACTGAATGCCCAGCTCCTGGCCTGTCTTACTGTCTGCCTTCTCTACTTGTAGACATAGTCTCTGGAGTGGAGAACACCGGTGGGATTCTGTGTCTCCTCCCTCCCCATACCTGCCTGGCTCTAAGGGGCCCTGCATCTTTGCTTCTCTGAACACAGCTCTGACACTTTTCTTAAGACAAAGATGTGAACCCCCTAAAGGCCCAGGACCACAGGAGAGGTGTCACGTAGAGAGGGACAACACAGACAAGCAGCCTGGCTGGGGCAGGCATTATGATTGTGGCCTTAATTTCTCTCTGGTAAGGGCAAAAGAATATGCGTCTGATAGTCTCTTCCTTTTGATTACAGCATTTATACTTATTTACATTTAATATGGTTACCAGTATGTCGGACTTATCCTCCTGATTTACTAGGTACATGTGATACTGATTACTTTGCTTCTCCAGTGGCATTTAAAGTAGCTTCCAGTACTAGTCAGAAGGAGCGAAGCTTCTAGTTAGGCAACAGCTCAATTTCTCCATGTTTAACAATGTAAGTTTTGTGTTCAGCAATAGGGCCTTACCACCAGGTTATGGAGAGTAGCCGATAGCCTCGGCTTTAGCCGGTAATGTTAGGGGGACCATATGGAACTGCTCTGACCAACATTCTGTCTTCAAATAGAATTTTACTCCTTCAAATATAGCGCCAGGCCTTTACAATAGCATCCAGCTGTCTCCCCATGCTGCTTCATGCTGTTGCCATAGTTTCACATGTCATAAGCCCAAATAAGACACTGTTAATAGTTTGCTGTAAACAGCTGATTGTCACTTAGAGAGATTTTTAGATGAGGTGGTCGTTTCTGTTTACCCAGGTCTGCCATTTCCAGGCCTCGTTCCCTGGGTAGCACTGGCCCCTCATCTCACACTACTGCAGCACGGCTTCCTGGACTGTCTCTTTAGGACACACTTCCTGAGCATCCGTACTCTAGTCTGAGAAGTGCATTGATTTCCCCTCATTTCAAAAGCTGTGTCTGCAGCTGGATGCGGAATTCCATTCTTGTTTTTTTTCTGTTTTGTTTTGTTTTTTCAAGACAGGGTTTCTCTGTATAGCCCTGGCTGTCCTGGAACTCTGTAGACCAGGCTAGCCTCGAACTCTCGAACTCAGAAATCAGCCTGCCTCTGCCTCCCAAGTGCTAGGATTAAAGGGGTGCACCACCACCGCCCGGCCCGCGGAATTCCATTCTTAAAGATGGTGTCCCACTGGCTGTGCATGTGCACAGTTCCTCTAAGGGATTCTCTTGCCAGTCTCACAGTGCCACTGGGTCTCTGGTCTTGGCCACTCAAGCACTGTCAGATTTGGGTTCCATCTTGTGGAGTGGGCCTTAAGTGAAATCAGATACTTGTTGGTCACTCCCACAGAGTTTGTGCCACCATTGCCCTAGCATATCTCACAGGCAGCACACCATTGTATATGTCTTCTTCCCTCTGACTGCTTCCAAGACTTCTCTTTGCCCCCATTTTTCCAGTGGTTTGATTCTCAGGTAGGTTGTTGTGGCATTTTTTTTTAAAGTATTTCCTCTGCCCAAAGTTCATAAAGACTGACAGCCCGTGGTTAGATAGTTTTCATGAAATTTGAGAAGCTTCTTAGCTATCTTCAAGTAGTTATTCTGTTCTTTGCTGCCCTCCTTTGAAGACTCATTGTATGCACATCATACTCTGTGCAGCTGTCCCAGAGCTTGCTGGAATGTTCTGCTGCTGCTGCTGAACATCCCTTTCTTTGCAATTTTAGTTTTAGTATTTTTTTAATTACATTTTATTGACATGAGGAGAAGGGCACATACCATAGGACACATATGAAGGCCAAAGGATAATTTGAAGGAGTTGGTTCTCTCCTTC